GGCACAGATACTAGCTCAAGGACAATCTTCCTCAAGCAAAAAGAGGAAGATTGGCAACAGATGTTAGCTCAGGGCCAATCTTTCTCACCAAAAAAAAAAAAAAGGGCAAACTAGAATGGTTTGGTACTTTGTTCAAGGCAGAAACATGAGGTACCAGGTTCTTATAGGCTATAAATGCTACTTGATGGGAAACATGTTATCCATTGGCATAGTCACAGAAATGTTATTCATGAAGAACTGCATTCCAAAGAACATGAATTTGCCTGAGATCAGGTGTTAGGAGATATTTAGGCACTAATATTTCATTTCATGCTACGTCCCTGATGGCAGTGAACAGCAAAAGAGCAAGGTAGTACAATTTTAAGGTGTCTTAGTTTGAGTTCTCATCTGTGCATTTTAATAATTTAAGTTAATTTATACATTTAATACTTAATAAATATATTTTATTTTAGGCTATCTATATCCCTGTTGGCTTAGATGGTTTTGGAACAAGCATTAATATTAGATTTCTAATAATTTGTTTGCTATCAAGACCATCACTGACATTATCTCTGCTAAGACATATATCAAATCATATCCATCAAATGGAAGCCTAAGCCTTGTGATTACAGTAATAGTAACATCTATTATTTCCTATGTGCCAACAACTGTCCTAAGCAATTTAAATATATTAATACATTTAATATATATAATATATATATTTTTCCATTTGCTGAATTTACTTAAATAAATCAATTTAGAAATGAATTAAACAAAACTTCTGACATGTAACATACTGCCATGTTCCTGAAACAGACGGTAACACCTGATAGAAGTTAATAACCGCTTGTTAGGAAAGCTGTTCATTAATACGGCCAGTCTTCTGCAAAACTAAAAACTATTTTGTTTCTTTCGTTTCCTTTGTTTTTTTCTTAGTCTGACAATGCAATTCTATCAAACCACAATCAAATATAATAAAGACACCACTGGATGAATAGATCTGCACGAATGGTTACAGACATTAAACAGTTTCATTCTTGGCGCCACATAAAAACAATTATGCCTGTCACATCAAACAAATCATGGCTTTTTTAAATCACAAGTCATTAAGTGATGTTACTTATCGTCCTTGTCAAACACGTTTGTAAAGGCTATTACAGTGTACATGGCTGAACATGAACTGTTTATAGTTAGAAAGATACCTGCCAGTTTATTACAATAGGAGATATATATATATAATCTCCTCTCATTAACTTAATGAGGAAAGTATTTTCCCCAACTTGCAGATGAGGAAACTGACGACACAAAGGTAAACAACTTCCCCTAAGTTATAGTAGTAAGGGTGGTACCAGCATTTAAATCTAGGCAGATCCATAACTTAAATTCCTAATTATTTCACTACACTGACTTCCAATTGAGTATGTGCATAAAATTCCACATTTGAGTTTAACTGTCTCATTTTCTTAATTTACTTTTTGTCACTCAAAATGAAAATGTTGTTGAAATGTTGAAAATTGTATCATTGAGTTGAAAATGTATCACTGTTGGGAAGTAATTTAAAACATACCTTTCTCAGATCATCGTTAATAAAACTACCTGCCAGCTCTTCTTTCTTTGTGGGGGCAGAAATCTCTTTATAGACTATTGTATTTTTCATTTTAACACTAAAAGGCAATTCAGCTTCAGGTTTTAAAAAGTATCAATTTAATAGTGAATATTTAGAAATATGTTACACAGACACCATAGTAATAGAAAATGCATACAATTTTAAACTCTTTTCTTAGGAAACCTTAACATAGATGGCTGACAGCATCCAACAAATAACATTTTGGACAAGGTCCCGGATATTTTTGAGGGTTCATTTTAAATATCATTTAGTCATGCAGACAATTAGGAGGCTTTTAAAAAAATAAATATGACAAATATACGGATTTCTGAAGTATAAACTGACATACAAATCTATATATTTTCATAATATTTTTCATTAAAGCATCTTTAAAGAAGCATTCTGTAACATGAAGTTGAGAGCTCAAGTTAGATGTAATGAAAAGGTATGATGTTTTATTAGAATTGTGTAATTCGCATACCAAATATTTACATAAAGTAAACAAAATTGCAAACATCTTCCAAGTCATCAACTTCATAAAATTAGTTACTGGAATAATTACTAGATAAAATTCCCAATTCTGAATGTTAATAAGGTAACACATATAGGAGCAATATGAGAAAAACCTAATCCTACCATCTGAGAAGCAGTGAAGGAGTAACATACTGCCCCTTGGGGATTGTCGACGCTTTCCTAGAACTCTTGGGGAGTAGATTCTTTTGTAAAACAGTGAGAACTAAACTACATCCCTTCACCAGCACACAAACTACGATAAATTTTTCTTTTCCAAACTTACAGATGCTTACAGCTGTAAACCACAGGTTAGTAAACTGTGCTAAAATGTCCCTACCCTCCATTTCCCCAAAAAAGGCAGCTCCAGAGGAAAAAAAAAAAAATCCATTATCTTTTTTTCACCTGAACAGCTTGAATAAAATTTCTATTATGAGTTGAACGAGAAGAAATAATCCTCTTACACATAAACAAGTTTGATAGAACTTAAGATGAAATAAATACTAGTTATCAGAAGAGCATATTCCTTAATGGAACTTAAAACATCAAAACTTAATTGGATTATATTACTAATTTAAAAAGTTAACACAGGAGAGGTAAGAGGATTTTCTTGAACTAATTTAGAGCAGTGTTTGCTATCTCCCTGACTACAAATTAGAATCACTCAGAGCTTTTAAAAAATGGAAGCACGGTTCCACCTCTAAGAAATTCAGATTTCTTGGGGTGGGGTCCACATTCAGAACTCTCCAGATGATTCTGATATGAAGTGAGGGTTGAGAAAAACTGATTTGGAGAAACTATTAATTACACAGAGTGGATTCAATTTAGATTATTTAAAATTCAAATACATGAGCACTTCCTATATGATAAGCATTGTTCTAAGTGCTAACGAGGAAATTCTTTTTTCTATAAAAATCATGGGATAACATTAATATACCTTTTACCTTTTGAATAGTTATATAACTTTATTAAAATATTACTCAAAACTTTTATTATGGTCTGCTGTCATGAAAGATTTCTTTCTACTTTTCTGAACTATCCTCACTTGATACTACACAACAAGAGATCAAACTTAGAAACTCTTTCTCAAGATATGTGGAGAGAACATAAGAATAACATAGATTTCATTTTTCAAGTCATAGTATATGAGGTATAGTCTACCCTATTTCTGGAGTCAAAAAGTCATTATCTAAGAACTGAAATTAGGTATTGCTTTAATGCTTAACAGAATCTCCTGGATCAAACACGAACTACCATTGGTGTCAGTGCTTGCTTTAAATTGCCTAAAAAATAATCTATGACAGATCCTCAGGGAACCTGGGAAGAGTGGGTCTTTAAATGCAGACCATGCTTCTTGTGACCTATTTATAAAACATTTCTTGAAAAGAAGTTACAGGAATACGGTTTTGAAACACACATAATTAGAAATTAGTTATCTCAAAGGAAAAGAAGTACAGTTTTTGAAATACTGCATAATTAGAAATTAGTTACTATCCCAGGATGATAGCTCGAGCTTTAAACTTTTTAAATTAAAACCAACTTTATTAGGTATTATAAAACTCATTTGAGACTTATTTTAACTCAAGAAAAAAATCAGATTTAAACTAATAAATTTGATTTGTATCTACTCTTCAACCTAACATTTTTCAGGTTTAAATTTGCTAAAACCAATGGACTAATTTATTAATCTCATATTAGGCTAATTATCTTTTAAGCTGGACAGCAAGCCAAAAATAATGGAATTTTGGTTAAACTGTAACATATGCACATGTAGAAAATGCAATAGCAATTTGTTTTCCATATTTGATGGAATTAAAACAGCTTTAAAGTTTTTATGAAAGCTTAGTAGTCAAAATAAATATTATATACACCATATCAAGAACTTAGTGTTTAAAAATAAACTTTGTCACATTGTTTTGACTTCAGTTAAACACAATTCATTTTAGTTGCTTAAGGTATCTAAGAATGATTAAGGTGTGTTTTTGGAAACAAAATTAAAAATGAAATACACTAGAGAGATAACACTAAGACGAAAGAGAAACTTACTATGTTGTAACTCAAAAGTTTAAATAAAATTATAGTAACTATTGGGACTTCTCAATATGACTGTGACCCTAAGAAATATAAATAGTTTGGGGAGTAAAAGTCAAAGATAGTCATGATTATGTGGTTCATGCTGTGAAACTCTCAGTGTGTAAAAAAATCAAAAAACAGTATACATGAGCACCATTAGAAATGTGTGTGTGTGTGTACGTATATATATATTTTAAACTTCACCTGACTAAAAATTGCATTTTCGAGTGAAGGTAAGGACAAGCACACAATTACGTAAATACATTCTTAGCTAACATGTCATATGACTTATTTTAAAATGTTTCATCTGGCATTCTTTCTAAAAATTCAATGAAAGAATACAACACCAAGGAAGCCAGCATTCTTTTGTATTGCAAAGTCCCTTGGTTAAATAGTTTACTGAAGAAAAAAGAATGTGTTCAATAAGTGTTTTCAATCCATAGCCAGATTCTAACCGTTAAAGGAAAAATGAAGTTAGCTAATACACGGGAATTCACAGAATAACCAGCACATGTTGGATTTGCCCCCAAGGGATTATCATTCAGGCATCAGATTATTTTTAATTGAAAGTAGTCAAGATTATTCAGCCGAAAGAATCTTTCTTCTACAATAAAAGATACAAATCTGTCACCTGTAATTTAATATTTCTGCTACATTCACCAAAACTGAGAAAACTACTACTGCCATATCTTATATAATACATACCCTGGGTTAAAATAGATCTTTAATGAAAATCTTATTTTGATCCTACGAAGAGACAGCTTATAATAGACTGTTAAGTATCCTTGCTCTTTTTCAAAGCTCCCAGTATAAGCAACCACATGATACAGACTGAAGTTCTTTGAAACCACTGTCACATGATAAAGACTAAAGAGTAATACTATTCACCATTTAAAATACGTTCAATCTCTTCTAGTCTTTTTAAAGCAGCAACTCTTTTCTTCTCAATTTCTTTGATTTCTTTTGCTGTTTTGTGGGAGGTCTCTTTGTCTGTATTTTTTCCTAATTGTTTGTTGGATTTAGATTGACTTTTATTATCACTTGTTTTTATTATCTGTGTGGGTCTGGGTTCATTTCTGATTTCTTTTACATTTTCAGTTGGAATGTTGTCTCCTTCTACACCTGAAGTCTTACCAGCTGGGAATATTGGCTGTTCTACAAAATTAGATGAGGAAATTTTATCCCTGACTATATTCAAATGGCGTTGAATATATTCTTCATGTGGTGCTAATGCCAATGTTTCAACCAGGCATCTTTCAGCTTTTAATAAGTCCTTCTCTTCAAAATAAACAACACAAAGATTGTGTTTTCCTTGCACATTGCTTGGATCCATCTCCAAAATCTTTTCAAAACATTTTTTTGCTCCAAGTATATCTTTCTTTTGATTCATCAGAATGTCTCCCTTTAAAATGAGACCCTTGATATGATCAGGATAGTATCTAAGTAACTCTTCCAAAACTGGCAAAGCCATTAATTCCTTTGCAGTCTGAGAATATAGGAGAGCCAAATTAAACAAAGCACTTCTAAAGTCAGCTTGTAATTTTATAGCTTTCTTCATCCACATCTCTGCTTCAGTGTCCTTTTTGTCATCCATGGCAAGCATTCCCAGATTGAAATAGCCATTAGCATCTTGTGGCTCTTCATTTATATAGTTCAGAAGTCGTTTTCTAGCTTCAGGTCTGAGTTTAACCTCACCTAAGGATAATTTTTTTAAAAAGAAAACAAGTTATATTGTTAGCAAATGAATTAAGTCTGAGGAAAAAAGCCACTTTCAAGTATTTATCTAGTTAGATTACAAAAAGACAGCATCAAAACAACTGCTATACCTAAATCAAAAAGCAGAAAGCAAAAACCTCGAAGTCTTCATAGAAAAGACAGTGTGTTTGAAACACTGAAATGATAGCTCATTTCCTTTCCTTTAAAGCAGTAAGTGCGTTAAAAACCAAAAGGGGTGAATATCTCCTTACAGTTTAGAAGCAGAGGAAGAAAAGAGAATTAAGAGGAAGAGGCACTGGATTTGCCAACAAAGACATTTATTCCATCTTGATTCTGTTAACATTATGACTTATGCACTGAACAAGCTATTTAACTTCCTGGGTTAACTGCTTGAATTTTCTAAGAGACATATGTAAATATCCTCAGCGAATAGTAACTATTATTGAATAAACAAAATGTTTCAGTCTTACTAAACCAGATCTTTCTGTATGTTACTTCCAATTTTTTAGAATGTTTCAAAGGTAAAATATACCATTAAATATAAAGCTTATAAATATAAATTAGGATTTAGAAAACAAATATTAATATTGAGATAATTTCTATTGCAAATAAATACAAAAAAATTCAAGTTCTACAACTTCAAACTTAGGGTTCAATCTTGTGTTGGTAACGGGCATCTTTCATGATTACTAAGGTTAGCTAACTTTACAAAAACACTTATTAGCTTTTCTCCAAACTTACGCTTTTTGGAGTAACAGGCATAAAGTTCTCCCTCTATTATTTGACAATATGATGAAAAAAGAAAATTTGAAAATAAACCAGTAGGCTTAAGTTCTTGTCTTGGACTAGTTACTAAATTACCCATATGAAGTTGGGTAGTTATTAGATCTATTTGATCCTCACTCTTTAATCCACTAAATAGAAGATTGGAAAAAGGAGACTCAAAGGTCCTCTTTAGCTCTAAAATAATATGATTTTATGATTCTTTCATTTTTTGCACAGTTTTAAAAAAGTATTTAAGAATTTATCTAAGAATTAACTAAAAAAAGGTAAATATAGAGACTTTCCTAAACATAAAAATTAAGACTATAAATCATATACACTGCCTTCTGAAGTAGTACTAAAATTCCTATATATCAAAGATCCTGATTTATTGTGATTAATGATTTAGTTTTGATAAATTACAGAAAATACTGGATATAACAATAATATCTCAGAAAGTAGTAACACTGGATATAAAATGATATCAAAAGTACCTGGTCTTATAAATCAAGAGAAAATAGAATGCTATTTTTTCTAAAACATATAATGCTCTTGGCTCCCTAGAAATAAATATGTAAAAAATTTTTACAACTCCAGATTACTTGGACAGTATATTTATATGAGATTATACTTCCATGCATAAAATGACAAGAGTAGATTGACAAGGCACTGCTTAATAGACTGCCTAAAAAATCTTAACACATACCAGAAGAACTAACAATTAATACTGTCATATATGTTAGTGCATTATTATGTGAAAAGTTTACTTCAAGTATTTAAATATTCTTCTTATAAATCATTTATGCACAGTTTTGATATAAATTATCCATTTGTAAAACATTTGCTATGGGTAATGTAATTTAAGTTAAGGTTTTATTATATTTCAAACTATAACATGTTTAAATATAGAAATATTTTGAAAAAACATACCTGATTCTTGCATCAAAATAGCAGAATTGAATAATGCTAACTTATGCTTTGGATTTAGTTCTAAAGCACGATTAAAGTTTTTTAGGGCTTCATTTGGTTCTTTAAGTTCAATATGAACAATCGCCAAGTTGTACCAAAGATCTGCATTATTTTTGTCCAGCTCTAGCGCTTTAAGATATGCTTCTTTTGCCTTGAGAGGTTTATTCATTTTTAAAAGCAATTCTCCTCTGTGGAAAAATCAAACACAAGCTTCACTTAAAAACATTACCATGTCAGTTTGTAGATACTATTTTCCACAAGTTTTAAGCTTTTCCACATATTCACAGCTTTCCTTTTTCCTTTTAACTTAGGCTCTTACAGTTTTCTTTCAAAAATAACTATCTGAAACTGCCCTCAAACCTGAACTCATTAGTTTAGCAAACTTGGCTTGATATGTTTTCAAATATTATTAAAGAAAAAAAAAGCATGCCTGACTTTAGAGGGTAAGATGTGGGGAGGTATCTAAGAAACAGGGACAGAGAAAATACATATTTGAATGTATCTGGCAAGAAAGCAAACTAGACTACATCAGAAAAATGACAGCAACCAGAGTGGGAGATCAATTTGTCAGGAGACAAAGTAATAGCATTTGTGATAGGGAAATTCCAGTATTCAAATCTATGTTAGAAGTCTTACTATACAAAAAGCAGAGCATCTGAAATTTTTTACCCCTTCTTATATTAATTTAGTCTTCTTCAATATATTCTTATAAAATGACCATTCATTAAAAGAAAAAGAAAGAAAGGAAAGGAAAAAACAAGAACTAAGGGAGCTGACTGGGAGGGTGGGAGGGCGCCAGTGCCACCCGCAGATACCTCTGCAGAGCACTTCTGGAACTGAGGATTGCAGTTTGAAAACCATTTTACAAATCTTTCTAATATGGGTCTATTTTTGTTAGACAGCTTAGAAAAGTCATTTTGCCTAAGTACATATGTGCAAATCAATTTAAGCGGCGATATGAGAGTTACTTTTACTATGATACTATTCTTTCCTAAAGTATCAGCATAGGAATGAAATCAAATGAACAACTATTACTATTCTCAATTCAGCAACTTCTAGAATGAGTGTTTGTCCGAAATGTTATTTTTTTAATCTAGAGACTGTTGAATAATTCTTTATAGATTAACACATGACAGGTTTCATTTACAAATGCAATCCCACTAAATTTACCGAATTTCAACAAGTACTGGAGAAGGCTGAATAAGTATAGCCTCCAACTTATAAACAGATTTTATCTCAAAAACTTATTAAATTCTGAATGCATTTTCCCCATAGAAACAATGTTATAAATGATTAGGTTTCTGGGCCAGGTTACAAAACATAGTTTAATATACAATTTTCTGCAAGTATAATACAAACGATAACTCTTACATGGGAAAATATATCAAGTTCTAACAAGTGATGTCAAAATATTTTTTTTACTGACAACTAACAAGTTTCTTTGTGGTAAAGACATTAATAACCAGTCAATTCTCAGTATTTATTTAAGAAAGCTCTTGAGAAATTGGATATTAAAAGTAATTACTATAAAACGTTAAGTCTCAAAGGTTTTAAATAAAAATGAATTTGGTAATGAGAAGCAAACGAAACTAAGAAGGAACTTCTTCTACACTTTCTTTCATATAAAACCTAAGTTTGCCATTATAAGTTACAGACTCTTTTGTCAATTTCAAACCAAATCAGTTAAATTTGTTAGTCTAAAACAGGCTATGTTTCTATGCTCTTGGTTGCCAACTAAGATTACTAAAAGAAAAAAAAGCCAATTTAGTCAAAATGCACATGCAGATGCAGCTTCAATCTTCTAGAATGACAGCTTAAAGTGAACTACAGTACCTGCTAATGTAAGCCTGCTTGAAGTCGGGCCTCATGCTTATCGCTTGTCGGTACAGTTGATCTGCTTCCTCCAGTCGGGACTCATTTGCTCTGATCAAGTTGGCCAGATTGATATAAACATTTAGGTGGTTAGGCGCAATTCTGGCTGCATATTTTTTACCAGGAATAATCTGTTCAGAAGAAAAGGCATTTTCATAATCTGATATTTCAGTGCCAAGTAAAAATCAAAAGTAAGTATTCCTATTGGCTTATTTAAAATACACACAGAACATAAAAAGATTATGCTACTAGTTTTACTGCTATACTAAAATAAATCATAAAAATGTGAAAACATCTACAGTATTCACAAAATGTAAATAAAATAATACTTTGTGGCACTGAAGGATATATTTTTCATTCACGCCAGCTCAACAGAATATTGTTAGCTTTTTATTTACTGTCTAGTTTTTCATATAGATCAGAACTTCCAGAGGCTAAGGTCTCACTCCGTGTGCGTCAGACCAGGAACCGAGTCTCTCGCTCTAGTGCGTGTGCCGCACCACGTCAGCTTGCACGTGGTCAGCAACATGCCTCCCGGTCGCGATAAAGGGTGCTTAACTTGGTTTCAGAAAACCTCACTTATCTGGTGGAGTTAGGAAATAAAATTCTCTAATTAACTCATTATTCAGGTTAAGTAAAGCTTATTATATATAATAGATATGGATGCAAATTTTCAATGATCATAATAACTTGTATCCAGTAAGAACCTACACTGAACAGAATTTACCTTTAGAATCTTAGGACTGAAATAATTCTTAAGATATCATGTGGTCCAACTCTGTTTTTAAAACATTTATCAAACTATTTAACCATTTTAACATTATTCTTCTTATTACCGTAGTATCAATCTATACTACAATTAGGAAAACTGTAGCCCAGGGTAAACTATCTTTTCTGATGACACAAAGCTGGTCAAGGCAAAGATCCGATTTTCCAGCTTTGACACTGTATTGTGATATCTAATGAATCTTGTACTTGTGTCATTGTAACAACTGATGGACACAATACAGCAACAGACATGTACCCATTTTATCACTTTATTCATTTATTTTTTGATAGGAATAATGTTGATTTTAGTGCTTAAAGTATATAAATAAAATTCTCTTCATTTAAAGTCATTGAATTCATCGATAACTTGTAATCAAGAATATCAAAAATTCAAAACTTTATGGATTTAGTTTTTATAAACAGATTATAAAAATTTTTTAAAAAATTAAGTGAGCTAGAAAAGTAAATGTACTCCTTTTAAAACTTGTAGCAATAGATGGTTCATTGGACACTCTATTCAATATGGATGTCTAGTAGACATGACACAATAATAATAAATTACGACAACTTACTTGAGGCATCAGGGACTTAGCCATCATGTAAGATTCTTCAGCTTCTTTGGTTCTATTCAAATTTTTATAAGTTCTTCCTACATTCATGTGGGCACCAATATCATCTAAAATTTTTAAAAAATCATTTGTTGGCAAATATACTAAATATTATTCAATGTAAACTACTAAGAAGACATGTTTCTAGCAACAAACACACTAGGCAAAGAATGCAAAAGCAGGCAATAGGTCCTGCTTCCTCCTTAAAGCTCTTCTAACACAACTTGATATGACTTATGATCAATGTTACACTAGAAAATTATTATATAAAGTACTGTAAGGACAGAAAATACATATGACATGAAAAAACTATTTGAATGGACCCTTGAAGAATAAGACATGAGAGGGGAGAAACAGGGGTAATGAAAAAATACACATCATTTCTCTTCACTGTATTTTACTATACTGTACTAAAACTTACTTCCATTTTCTTAATCTCATAGCTTTAGAATTCACTCAAAAAGTATGGCTCGGGGGCCAGCCCCGCGGCTTAGAGGTTAAGTGTGCGCGTTCCGCTACTGGCGCCTGGGTTCAGATCCCGGGCGCGCACCGACGCACCACTTGTCCGGCCATGCTGAGGCCGCGCCCCACATACAGCAACTAGAAGGATGTGCAACTATGACATACAACTATCTACTGGGGCTTTGGGGAGAAAAAGGGGAAAAAAAAGGAGGAGGATTGGCAATAGATGTTAGCTCAGGGCTGGTCTTGCTCAGCAAAAAAAGAGGAGGATTGGCATTTAGCTCAGGGCTGATCTTCCTCACAGAAAAAAAAAAAAAAGTATGGCTCAACTCTCAAAGTGAAAGGGATCTATAAGTGAAAAGGATCATCATGATCCTAGAATTATTTCATGTGTTATAACTAACAAACATGCACCCATGGAGGAACGGGGCAAAGAGACTGTGAAAAAACTCTGATTTTGTTTTTAAAAATTTTTGTGAATGTGGCTGGAATGCAAGTACAATGGAATATCAGGATTCTATAGTATTACTTAAGATGCAGAGGCCCCTCTCTCTTAAATAATGATAAATTCCTATATAATTTATTTAAAACTTTTTAAAAGGTTGTGTTAACATCAGAATGTCAGGAACTTTTGTCTCATTTTCTAATATGGAAAATCCAATCCTCAGCAAATTTATTCAGGGCCAGAAAAATATGCAATTTAAGTAAGAAAGATATGAGGGTTCATGGCACACTAGTTTTTTTTTTTTTTTTTTTGAGGAAGATTGGCCCTGAGCTAACATCTGTTGTCAACCTTCCTCCTTTTCTTCTCCCCAAAGCCCCAGTACATAGTTGTATATTCTAGTTGTAGGTCCTTCTAGTTCTTCCATGTGGGATGCCGCCTCAGCGTGGCTTGATGAGCAGTGTGTAGGTCCATGCCCAGGATCCAAACCGGCAAACCCCAGGCCACCGAAGCGGAATGCACAAACTTAACTGCTATGCCACTGGGCCAGCCCCTGAACGCTAGTTTTAAGATACATTTCCCAGTAAATATTTCAAAAGAGTGGAATAAAGATAGAAAGAAGGAAGATCTTAAATCAGACAAATTTTACTCAACATGAATCTCTAACAAACATGACAAGGTTTCAAATTATGATTACTACTTGCCTGTGACACCGATGATTTTGCAATTGTGGAATAGTTCTCTGCCTGCAACTCCCAGGACACTTAGGGGCCAAGCATATATATTTTAGGCATTCCCCTAGGAGGAGAGTAACAGTCCTAAGATCTTGCTACATTATGTTTCAGGCTGGCAATTGTGTGCACTGCACAAAAACTGTCAGATGCAGCACAGGTTTGGTTAGAGAACTAGGGGACAAGGTTGGAGGAAAGGGGTTAATATTTTGTTTTCAGATGTATTGCTGAGTCTCATGGGGTCTCAGGAGGGGGTCAAGCAAAAAAAAAAAAAAAAAAGAAAGAAAAAAATGCTCAGGGTAACCATTCCAATCCTGGCTGCAAATCAGAGTACCTGTATAGCTTTTAAAAATTCAGATAACTTAGCCCCACCGAGCTTTATCAAAACAGAATCTTCAGGGATAGGATCTGCAAAAATGTTTTTAAAAAGTTTCAAAGGCAATTTTGTTGTAGAGCCAAGGTTTAAATTCACTGCATTACCAAGAACATATAAAAATAGAGTAGGTAGTCCTTGCTCTTACATAGCTCAATTTTTTTTTTTTTTAGTATCAGGTAAATCTATACCATTTACTATAGAGATCAGAAAGTTACTTAGGAAAAACTAAGGATATATAGAACCTGAAAAAATTAATTATACAACAAGAACCTGATCTAAGGAAAGAACAAATAAACTGAAAGTTTAGATAAATAAAAGTGTAATTATGTTCCACTAAGTATTTAAAATGTTACTGAAATCAGCCCCAACCAATCTTAGAAAAGAAAGAGGTTATGTATTTATTTGAAACATGAAGCAAATTACTACCCACTGTAATCAGGTTCTTAGAATTATGGCAAGGAGATAGTGTCATCAAAGAAGACTTCAGACACTAGAGTAAAGCAGCCCTACTTTCTCAAAGAACAAAGATAGCAATCAGACAGCCTTTAGCATCAAAAGGACTACAAAATACAGCTAATAAAACAAAGACATAATTTTTAAGCAATTTTTTTTTTTTTTGTGAGGAAGATTAGCCCTGAGCTAATATCTGTTGCCAATCCTCCTCTACTTCATATGTGGGACGCCTGCCATAGCATGGCTTGATTAGTAGTGCATAGGTCCGTGCCTGGTAACTGAATCTGCAAACCCCGGGCTGCCAAAGTGGAGTGCCACAAACTTAACCACTATGCCACCAGGCCAGCCCCAAGCAATTTCTTTTTAAGTTACAAAGCTTTAAGATTTCAGAGGAGGAAATAGCATTACTGGTAAGGTAAATTTAAATTTGAAAAAGGTAAGAAAAGCAGGCAAGATGTAAAAATCAATGACATTTAAATGACTAAAAAGCTACAGAATTTCAAAGAATAATCTTGCTATCATGAGTGCACCATCCATACCAACAGCAGCATGAATCTGACAGTCTGTTTTTAATTCAACATAAATGAGGACTGGCAAGTACCAGGCAACTCTGTGCCTAATAATTCTTCAGCCACCAACAGTGAGGTTAAGTATTCTCACACTGATAATCCAGGCATCTGTGTTGCTCTCCAGTATTTCCTATCCACAAAATTGTCTGTCTATTCATTTAAAAAGATAAATTTATAAATAGCTGGAAACTCCTAAAAACTCTTTAAAAATCATTTCCATCTTGATAGCATCAAAGTTGAAATACAGGTCCATGATTCCTTTCTGATAACAACAGTTTCAAAGATCTGGAGAATTCTGGTGTCCCTTGAGAAAAATCTACCCTTGTCTTGAAAAGGTGTTTATGGAAACTGTAATTCCATTTGCAAAAATTTTATCTTGGTGAATTGGGATTTTTTTTAAAACACTTGTAACCATCAAAACAAAAAAATCGGAATCAATTGTTTAACATGACATACATGTGGCCTGGTCAAAGACCACTGGATAGTTTAGGTTTTTATTCTGGCTAAGCAAGAAAAGCTTCAGACTGAGTTTTTTTTAAAAAATTAACTTTAAAATGTTATGAATCCCTACTCTATGTGATCCTAGACTGTTCCAGGGTTTTAAATACCATCTATACGCTTGTTACTCCCAATTTTTATCTCTAGTCCTGACCATTCCCCTTATCTTCAGACTTATAAATCTATGTCCCTCTCCATCTGTATATCTAAAGGGACAAAAAAGGACTCTTGATTTCCCCTCCCTACACGTTAACTCATGTGTCAAATCTATCTATGAAGAAGACGCCTAAAAAACAAGGAACAGCCAAGAAACCTCTGAATGCCAAATTCAATGTTTCTAAGTTTATGTACCTCTTCACAGTAAACTGTAATAAACTGGTTTACCTGTTTTGCTAGCCCATGGCTTATTAGAAACAGCAATTTTGAGAGTATGGTAGAGAGGTCACACTAAAGGACACAGTAAGAAAAACAGTATCTCAAAAACAGCAAAAAGTGGTGCCAGACCAGTGGCATAGTAGTCAAGTTCATGCACTGGGGTTTGCAGGTTCAGATCTTGGGTGTGGACCTACACACCGCTGGTCAAGCCATACCGTGGCATCGCCCCACATACAAAAAATAGAGGAAGACTGGCACAGATGTTAGCTCAGTGACAATCTTCCTCATCAAAAAAACCCCCCAAAAACAGCAAAAAGTGACAATTAATTGACAATGAAGGGAAAAATTATTCTAAAACTGAGTGCCTATAACTGGCAACATCCTGTGATATGCACACTACTCACTAGACAAAACTAAACATGCACATACACACCCACCCGCGCCATTTAATTTAGTCTTTACAACAATGCAATGAGAATAGAAATTACTCTCCCCATTTAGAAATGAGAAAGATAGGGCTGAAGGGGCTTAAATAACATATTCTAAGTCTCAAAGTCCCTGTGTGTCTGATATTAAAGATGACTTTGCTTCTCTAAAAACTCCTAGAACGAATCTAAGAGACTTAAAAGTAATGAATTTAAACTACCACAGTTAGTGACCACTGACTATGTATAAGACAGTGCCAGATGATGCAAGTGATACAAAGATACATCAGGTGTTCATGCTGCCTCTAAGGAGCTCCTCAGTTTAAGTAAAGAAATATTTTAATAAATAAACATTTAAATAAATAAACATTTAAATAAATAAATACAATATAATACTAAATGGAAAAGTACAAATACCATAGGAAAGATTAGAAGACGTTGTAAGAGGTTTTAAAGATGAGAAATATTTGCTTCTACCTGGAAAGACAGGAGGGTTTTTAGAAGAGAAGCCATGTGAGATGGGTTGTAAAAGATAGATAGGGTATGGTAGAAGGTGGGTGGGAAGGAAGGAAGAAGAAAGGAGTTCTAGGCTCAAGGAAGAACATGAACCAAGGCACAGAGGTGAGGAAGTCCAGGACATGTACCCTATATTTCAAGAAACACTAAACTACATGAAGAGCCAGGGGAGATAAAATTGGAAAGCTAGACCATCAGTTATATTTCTACAACTTTCTCCTTTCTCTACTTGAAATGTGGCTTTGCCCTGGGGACACAGTTTACACTGTAGCTCTTCCAAGTGGTGACTGTTCTTTTTCTTATCCTTTGCAACACGGCCTGGAGGAAGAGTAGGTGTCCTCCTTGATCCTTATCACTTCCAGACAGTTCTGACTCCTTCTTAAAATCACTGATCTCTAAATTTCAAGTCATTAAACTCTATTATCAACTATCCCTTCTTGTTGCAGTCACCAGTCTCTGGGTCACACAACTCCTGGCTCCTTGTCATTCTCTGCAATATGACAGTTGTCAAAATTCTTAGTGATTTCAAAATCTACACAGATGCATCTTCTTTTTTTTTTTTTTTTTAAATTGCTTTTGAATGCCTAGTAATATATATTTTTTAATTATTTATTTTTCCCCCAAAGCCCCAGTAGATAGTTGTGTGTCATAGCTGCACATCCTTCTAGTTGCTGTATGTGGGACGTAGCCTCAGCATGGCCGGAGAAGCGGTGCATCGGCGCGCACCCGGGGATCTGAACCCCGGCCGCCGGCAGGGGAGCGCGCGCACTTAACTGCTAAGCCACAGGGCTGGCCCCAGATGCATCTTCTAATACTTGGCCTTCATGTCCTTTCTTCCAGTGATTTTCACCTCCTTACTCCTTTAACTGTGGCCAACAGCCATAGTCATATCTAACAGAAAAATAGGGGGCAGCTTCCACCACTCTCTACCCGCTAGAGGATATTTAGAAATGTATGTAGGGGGTACTTTTGGGTCATCATTCTGAATGAAAAGTAATGATGGCATTAGTGGGTGGGGCCCACATTTGGTACATATCCTGAAATACCATTCTGCACACTTGAAATGCCAATAGCATTCCTATTGAAAAATAGTGATGCTCTAGCTAGATCCTACTCAGACATAAATAATTCTTCAAATTTATAAACTACTGATCCTATTGCCTTTCCTCCATTCCTCACCTTCCCTCCCATCCCTTCTTGAACAGCTTAGATTCTGCATCCCATTATCATAATCACTCCCTTATCCCTTTCTTGTTTAACAACGGACGTCCACAAAATCCTAATCCTGTTTAACTGAATTCTCCACGCCTGTACCATTGTAGCCGTAAAGCAGTTGGAGAAAACATATAACCACATCAACTGGTTTAATTTTAAATCAAGTATTCCTATCCTACAGTAGGGTGTCAGAACTGCTTGGCAATTATAGCACATTTTCCTAGTCTATATACTTTACTAGATCTTTGTTTCTCAATGTGTGATCCATGGGCTAAGCATCACCTGGGAACTCATTAGAAATGCAGAACTTCAGGCCCTACTCTAAATCTCTACACATCAGAACATGCACCATAACAAGATCTCTAGATGATTCCTAGTCACATTAAACTTTGTGAGCATCGTCCTAGATGACTACTTCAGACCCTCTCCTGTTCTTACATGTACAGCACTTCCTCCCCTTTCCTCACTCTCTACTGATGATTTTGCTTTCTATCTCACTGAGAGAACACAAGCAAACAGAGAACAACTTCCAGAAGCTTCCTCCATGTCATCTATTCACCTCCCTATATCCATGTCCCTATACTCTGCCTTCACTATTACCACAGGTTAACTATTGGTTCTATGGCTAAACGAAGTCCTCACCTTGTGCACCAGATCCTATTTATCTCTTCTCATCTATTCAAGGACGCTGATCCAGTAATTATCCTCCCATCTTGAATTATCACTTTTCCCAGTTTCAATGGATTAGCCACACACATGCTTTGTTTCTCTCACCTTAAAACAAAAAACAAAAAACTCCCTATCATCCTACCACCCTCTCTTGACCCCATACCCAGCATTGCCATCATTTCTTATCAATACCCTTTAAAAGAGTTTTCAATATCAATTGTCTTCAATTGTTCTTCCCCTACTCTCCCAAACTCACTCCTATCAGGCTTGTGCATCTATCATTCCACCAAAATTGCTCATCAGTGCCACCCAACAACTCTGTGTGTAAAAAAACTCGTTAAATGTCTGATATAAATAGCTCTAACATATAATCCAATTCAAAATAAGCCGGCATCGAACATTGTAGTATTTAAGTCACTTGGAATAAAGCTTGAAAATAAACTCTACCTTATTTTCCCCAAATATAATCAAGGTTTTAAAAAGAAAATAAACTATTCAAATAGTTTTAATTAATAATGCTTACCTGGCTGAACATGGGTAGCCTGTAAGAAGTATTTCAAAGCTCTCTCAAAGTTCTTTTCATTTTCCAGAGCATGACCCACATTATTCCATAATTTGGCATTATTTTTATTTACCTTAAATACACAAGTACAGGTAGAAATTAGTTACAATAAAAAAAAGTATGACTCCAATTAAGGCAGATATTTATTTGTATACTATTAGGAATGGAGTGTTCCAAGGAGATGTCCATGAATGGATGAATGTCATTAAAAGGTACAAACTTCCAGTTATAAGATTAAGTTCTGGGGATGTAATGTACAACATGGTGACTACAGTTAACAACACTGTATTGTATATCTGAAAGTTGCTAAGAGAGTAGATATTAAAAGTTCTCATCCCAAGGAAAAAAAAATTATAACTATGTGAGGCGATGGATGTTAACTAAACTTAGTGTGGTAATCATTTCCTAATATAGAGCCAATCATTATGTTGTACCTCTTAAACTAATACAAAGTTATATGTCAATTATGTCTCAATAAAACTGGAAAAAAAATCATTCAGATTTTCTCCTAGAAAAAAGAAAAAAAAATATATGTATATACACGACTCCAATTAACAGATATTTGTTTGGTATATTACTAGCAATGGAGTGTTCCACGGAGATGTCCCTAGAGACAAGGAAAGAGCCAAATGAACACCACTTCACCAAATGTACTCTCCTTTCTTTCAACACCAACACACTAAAACCATAGCAGTCTGATGTCCTTTATTTTATATATTAGAATTTTACTAAAAATTTTATTTGATGAAAGCATAGTGCTGTCTGAAAACTCCTGCTCTACTATTTGTATTCTTTGGGGAGAGAAGGTATTTGAACCTGAGAATATGTTTAAACATTTCACTGATTACTTATTTTTAGGTTCTATATAAAGCAATTATGGTAATCGGAACCCTAGGATTAAAGTTCTAAGTTGATCTGTGCTTTCAGAGTTCACAGATGGGCATGGTGTTCCTGCCAGGAAAGGATGGTACCTAACCAAGGAACTGGCTGCAGTGATTAGGGCTGTGGTTTCCAGCATTGTCCTGAGAGTAAGGACAAGCAAAATTCCTGAAAATTATGGGGCTCCACTGGTATTTCAGGAGTGTGGATTAATAAGAATGGTAATGAGGTCTCATTTTTTTTGTAGATTTCTGAGATAGGAGAACGGAGTTACTGAGTGGTACAAGAGGAGAGTCATCTGATCTTAAGTAGATGTCAAATCAAGAAGTCACACAGACTACTGGAATGAGGCAGTGATCCAGTAAAGCTAGGCAATGGAGAGTACAGAAATAGCCAAAAGGAAGTTAAGAATTTAGAGATTTGAAGAGAGGCATTGGTAAAGGAACACCTGAAAAAAAATCTTTGCTTACAACTTTTATAGAAAACAAATTTTATGATTTTGTTTGTTTGTTTTTTGTGAGGAAGACTCACCCTGAGCTAACATCCGTTGCCAATCCTCCTCTTTTTTTGCTGAGGAAGACTGGCCCTGGGCTAACATCCGTGCCCATCTTCCTCTACTTTATAAGGGATGCCGCCACAGCGTGGCTTCACAAGCAGTGTGTCAGTCCGTGCCTGGTATCTGAACCTGTGAACCCCGGGCTGTGGAAGTGGAGCACGTGAACTTAACCACTATGACACCAGGCTGGCCCCCAAATTTTCTGATTTTTAGAGAGACTTTATTTCTATTTATGTTGTCCACTCTATAGAAACTATAGAAATGCTGTATCACTCCTTTCAGCCAGTTCCTATCTTTCCTATAATATTGTAACCATTGTTATCTTTCACATAGTGGAGTGCCATTTTTTGCCATGTATTTTATTTCACTGAATCTAAGAAGCCATCAACTATAAGACTCATCATTATTTTATGTACGATTAAGAAAGAAAAAAGGTCACTAATTGATTGTAAGATGCCTTTCCCTGTAAGATTTATTCTAATTTCAGAGATGTTAAAAAGTAAAAACACGTGTACCTTAAGAAGCAATGAATTATAGTATTTTTATTTAAACATTTTATCATTTGAGCTTCAGACAACTGTATAGTATTTAGGGAATTATTCATATATGCTGTAGACATACACCTAAGTACTATTCAGAGCACTGCTTATGTTACATACAATATAAAGAACAAATTATTTTTATTTAACTTTTTAGTGAAGTATTTAAAATTGACAGTTAAACGTCTAATTAAAAACAAAGTTAAAACATTTTAGACATGGCTATAAGAAATAAGCGATGCCATATTTTCCTGTCATTCTGGATAATACTTTACCTTCAAGGCTGACATAAACAGTGTATATTCAGACTCCCAATCCCAATTTCTGTGGAGTGTTTTTAAGGCATGAGTGAATATCACCATAGACAGACAAATCCAGGCTAACTTTTTAAAAACACTGTTTAAGAAAGAAAAGCAAAACACAAAAACATTTCTACATCACCAAAAGCATTTTGCCTTTTAGAACAGAGGTAAGAAATATGCTAAATATCCCCAAATATCATGTTTGAATTTATTCTAAAGAATAAGAAACATCTAATCATCATCCCACTTCAGGGAGAACACCACCAAAAAAATTAGATGAATACTACCTTTCACTTCAGTCTACAAACACATTAAATATTGCAATATTTGCCTCTATTTCAAAAGCTTTGTTTAGATTTAATGACAAAAAAATTGATAAAACCAGTTTTTAATTGTGACTTTTTATATTTAGAGTCCTTTGTACCATTACCTACAACTTGAATACTCTTGTGTTTATAAAGGGTCAATCTTATCAATGGGTATATTTAAAAACGTTTTTGCTTACAATATATACTACAGATTATCATAGCATTCTTAGAATCACTTTACATTTTAAAGCTAGAATTATTTATTAAAAGCCATAGAAAAATAAATTCTTTATAAAACAGATGCAAATTACTTATAGAGTTTATGCTAATTATTTGGGACAATTCTTCATCTATAAAAAGACGGTTATATTTCAATAATCCCCATAATTTCATTTAACACTAATATTCTCCAAGTCTCTGTTTTTGCCCTGGTAACACAGTTCAATTTCTTTCACTTTGATAAATCCACTTAACCAGGATGAAAATGCACGGATCAGAAAGAACACGAACACTGGAAGCAGTCAGATGTAAATCTGAATCAAGACTCTGCTATTTAATAGCTGTGTGATCTTGCGTAATTCAGGTAACCTGTATGAGCTTTAACTTTCAAATGTGCAAAAAAGAGTTAGGGAGTGTCAAGATTAAACGAGAAAACAAATCTAAAGGGTCTATCATGGTACCCGGCACATAGTAGGCACTCAAAAATTGGTAGTGAAATTGGTAGAAAAAGTTTGGTAGATGGTAGTAAAAATTGTAGACATGGATGAGATCATCCAGGGAGAATATACAGTGTGAGAAAAATGGCTGAGTAAAACTCTGAGAAATAAAAAAATATGTAAAGAGCAGATACAGCAAGAAGAATCCAAGAAGAGACTGAACAGAAATGAACAGATGTGGAAGAGAATCAGGAGAGAGACTTTTTACAGATGCCAGGGAAATAAAAGCACTGACTGGATTTAGCTACTAAGAGGCAATTTGTATGTATTAGTAGAATGATGTTGAGAGAAGTGAGAATTCTATGGGCTGAAGGGTGACTAGAAGATAAGAAAGAAGGGAGTGATCATTTCTTGCATACATACAATGTGACTATTCTGTTCCTTAACTGTTAGTTTAAGGCAACTAGGACATGATGAAAATAGTGATGACAGCAAGAAATTACAGACTGCTTATTATACACATTTTATATAATAAACTCAATGTGACTAACTTAAGTAAGAAGACAATATTGCACTATATTCATTGTACAGGGAAGTGGCAATGGTCATTTGTAACTTTAGTCTCCATAATATCCTTGTTTTCATTTGGGCCTGACTCAAAGTTTGCTATGTCTCAGGCTGTGAAATGCAATTATATAAATACAAGGAAGAACATAGGATGAGGTAGGTGCTATGGAGCTTTCCTAACTTAAGTTGCAGACAAATGAGACTATCAGGATGAAAAACAAAAAGGTATAAAAGTATGACTTATAAAACTGAACTAAACAAACATTTAAAATACTTAAATGTATCACATTAGATTTTATAGTTAGCATTAAATGAACTAACATTTTAATTCACCTTTTGTTTGATATTTTTTGCCATCCATGGGCTACCAAAATACAGAACCCCATGCTAGGAACATATAATACTCGCTCAGCAACAACAAATCCAACTGGAAAAAAAAGGTTCGATGCAGGAATAAATGGTAACGCCATTAAACAAAGTGCCTACAAGGAAAAAGAAGATATTTTATTAAATTAAAAAATATATGGACACTCAACAGTCAAATCCAAATATTTTATCATTTAATTTGAATAATGTACTGGTGGACCATTTTTAATAATACTATATAACACTCATTTAAACATAAAGGCTGCAACTTAGGGATAGTAACAACAAACATCAGGATGTATGTCAGCAAGGTGAGGTGAAGTCTTCTTGAATGCTAGAACTTATAACTAAGGCTCGTCCAATTCAACAAAAAAGAAATAGTTTTTGAAAATATATCTAAATTAAGACATTGATAATTTTTATACATCTAACTTACGTGCATGTGGTAAAAATAAATTGACAGAAAGATGTCAACAGGTTTTAACAAAACAAAACTAAAACTGCTAAACATGCCAGTTTTTACAATTTTGCTACTATAAATAACCACATCATATTGGAAACTGATAAGGTGTATTTCAGACAAGACAGTAGACTACTACTTCTGTACTTCAGCCTTACTTTGCATAATATTTTGATGGGTCACATATATTTAAGAGGCTTAGTATATGTACAAAAAGAAAACTGTCCCCCTTTAAGTCAATAGTCTTTTATTCTATAAGAATTGCTAAAATTCTAACATTGTACACTGAAATAAAACATCACAAAAATGCTTAGACTTTTTTTTGCCAGTTTGAAAATGAGATGGCGTATGGTTTCCAGATTATAAAGCCATAACAAAAGGTAGGACACAAATAACTAGCACTCAAATAACTTGTGGAAGGAAATAAGTTGGCTGTCAGTAGAACATCTGTTTCTATGGACATATGCTTTCATATTTTCTCACTCTGATTTGTTTTATAGTACCTAATCGAATAAGTTGTTCCTTCAGCTTCAGAAGTGTGGGAATATTCTAACAGTTTGAGAAAAGAATGTCTTTTATTATACCTTATTAGTGAAATATAGATGTAGAGATGTATACATAGTGAAAAGAATACTTTCTCCATGAATCACAAATTAATGATTTGTAATGAGGCAATACTGAATCTGAAGAAAAGCACTACCATCGAACTGCTCAGTATCATTCTAATTTATATGTCTGAAATTTTAGTGTTTTCTTTTTAACCAGAAAGGTAAAACAGGAACCAGCCTGGTGGCGTAGCAGTTGGGTTCATGCGCTCTGCTTTGGCAGCCCGGGGTTCACGGGTTCGAATCCCAGGTGTAGACCTACACATCACTTGTCAAGCCATGCTGTGGCAGGGTCCCATATAAAGTAGAGGAAGATGGGCATGGATATTGGCCCAAGCCCATTCTTCCTCAGCAAAAAGAGGAGGATTGGCAACAGATGTTAGCTCAGGGCTAATCTTTCTCACAAAAGAAAAAGAAAAAAAAGGTAAAACATTAAAAGTGCATAATTCACCTTCCATTTCCTAGAAGTGCTGGATAAAAATAACCAGCTAGCTGTGAAACAGATAGAGATGTTCCTAAATACGTAGTCCTTTTTTTATCAATATTCTCTATTAATTCATGGCTGCCCTAAGGCAATTTCACTTGAAAGAATTAAAAGTGTCATATTCATCCAAAGATGCATCATGGACTGATGCATACATAAGCTATGCAAAAAAGAAAGGCAATCTCTCAAAAAATCCATGGGTTCTTGAATAAGGAATGTTTCTAATGATTAACTTATTCAGAAGTTCTAATGATACTCTCCATTAATACGCCAACCTAGTTAACTATGATGAATATAATTTTCTTCTCCTAGTGATATATAAACTCTCTTAAAAAAGGAAGGATCGTAGTGGAAAGAGCAGAGTTTGGCGACAAATCTGCTTCACTTCTTTCAGTGTAACATAAGGTAAACTACTCAATCACCTTGCAATCGTTTCTTTATAAATAAAATGGGGATTAATAACTACTTACATTTATTGTTGAGATACTTATGACATCTTATTTAATAAGTGCTTAATATGGAATGTGGTACTCCTGGTAGGTGCTCCTTTGATCTACTTATCCCTTCTAGAGATCTTCAGAAAACATCACCATAAAAAATAGCACGTTTAGGACTATATTTAAAGCAGTTATGCCTAAGGTCACAACTGTTCCTTTTTTATACACATAAAATAAAATATAATTTATATAAATGTGTGTTTATTTCACTGGCACTGTCCTCTCTTTATTTTTTATTCAGTTTACATTATATAAATCATTTTTTTATTTGCCAAAACTTTAAATTCACCTACTCCTCCTTTTTGTACCTTTCTTTTAGCAGAACTTTGGCTTTGGATGTATTCTACCATATATCTGCTTTGTTTGTTTATACTTGAGCAACAAAGCACTACTAGAGACACTCCCAAAGCAGCACAGATTAATATCATCATAAATTCATAATAACCAACTTCAAAGTGATCCTCAAGACTGCTCAGGATTCCTAGGTTTCTTTGGTAGGCTCACTCCAACTCTCCTCGACTAGTTTGAATCTTGACAACTTTTCTCAAACTTTTGATCCACGTCACTTTCAGCAGGTGAACACACTTCCAAACTTAACAGAGAAAACTAAAGCCATGAAACAAGAATTCCTTCAATTCCCTGCTACTAAACCTACTAACAACCACATTCATGCCCATTTCTATCCTCCCTGTAACGTAAGAGGAACCTCCATCTATCTCAGGCCAAACTGGAGCTTTACATCCCCCTGCTCCTTACAAATGTCACTATCAATCATCCCTTCTTTCATTTACTCAACCCCTAATTAACTATATCCTTCCTTTCTATATTTAAATACGCTCTTGCCTCTCCAACCTTAAAAATCTTCTCCTTTGACAACACATCTTTAAGCTACCTTACCCATTCACTATGTCCCTCAGGTATAAAACACGTTTCCAGACTCTTAGGAAACACCTTTTGTAGCCATGGTAACAAGTAGTTGGTTTTAACGCCACTTAATCAATCAACATTTCAACTCAATGAATACGTTTTTGCAAGCCAATCCATTAGTAATATCCCCTTGCTTCTAAAAGTCAGCCAACTGAGTACTTTAATGAAAGGGATTCTAAATACCAACCAATCAACAGTCTCCCTCTGACATCAAACCACTCCCAACTCTAAAGGTCCACTCTATGCTTCCTCTAAGTCCTAGATAAGATCAGTAGTCTGTTATACTTGAAGCCACTGCCTTACCGGCACAGTCTTCTCTTACTCAAGCAGGCAATAAATTCAAGCTTGTTTCACCCTTTGAAATATTCAAACTTAATTACCCTTGAAGGTTATCTACACTAGCAATCTTCACTTCCTCATCTCCTAATCAAATCACTCCACAGAAATAAATTTCATTTAAGTAAATAATACACCTAAAAGAGGTCAAATCCAACTGATCTCACTTTTCTACTTGACAGCATCTGTTAGTGTTACCCATTCCATCTTTCTTGAAACACTCTCCTACCCTTTTGTCCATTTGGTCTATCTCCTGTTTAGGTTCATTCTCCTCTACACAACATCTAAATACGGAAGTTTTTAAAGACCTGGTTATAAGCTTCTTCTCTTTCGCTCTATTCAGCCCTTCAACTATTTTCTGAGGGAAAATTAAGACCAAATACTCTAAGACGTTCATTATGTGTATGAATTAACTTCTATTCTATGCATCTAGAATGGTACTAGCTAGCTACCATCTTTGAGAGAAGGGACAAAACCCAGGTGAGAAAGGCTGCTCTATAACCTCTCCATAGGCCTTCTTATCCATATCCAGGTTTCAGTTACAATCTCTATGCCAATCAATCAAATTTTTATGTGCAGCTCAGGCTTCTCCTCTGAACTCCAGACACAAGGTGCTACTCAAAATCTCCACCAAGACGTTTCAAAGGCACCTCAAACTCAAGAAGTCCAAAGATAATAGTAAATATATATTTCCCCCAAACCATATATTCTTTTAATCTTCTCTGTAACTCAAAGATTGGCTTCAAATTTCTCCAGAATGTAAGTTTCCTGGAAATGGAGACCTTGTATTTCTTTTTATTATCATCTCTTCAGTGTCTAAAATGCTGCCTGGTACACAGGTTGCAATCAAAAATTTTTACTGAATGAATAAATGAATCTAGTGGCTGCAGCCAGAAATGATAATATTTGCAAAGTATTAAAGCACTTTCTGGCATATAGTAAATGCTCAAGAAAATGGTAAAGATTATCACTATCTTCAATATTTTAAAATAAAGAGGGAACAGAACTGTTATGAGTAAGAAGTGAGGGCAGAGTAAGAAAATTATAAAGAAACAGACTTTAGAAAAAACAACAACAAAAAGATTTTTCAAATAATCAGAGTTCTCTGAACGTACCTCAGGGAGTAATAAAAATCTTGCTAATGAGAACTGAAGAGTTATATATTTCTAGCTGCATATCTTACATGATACTCTTCTCTGTGCTAAGGAACCAAAGAAGTATATATGATCCATTTCTTCAAAAAGTGTTTAATCTAGTTGGGTAAAGGTAAGAAATCTAAGAAAATGATGCCAAAAGGGATGCTTCATGATTTCAGACTTCCCACCAAATAGGGAAATTCATAATCAGTTTTTGTTTTACATACTGAATATATATGTCAAATTATGCCTGTCATATCCTGATATATAAATCTTGATATATAATTTTAGGATAACTTAAAATAAGTTCATAAATTAGGATGATGTTGAACAAAGAAAGATGCTGTTTCTAAAAACATGCTTTTGATGAATTAAAGGCAGTCTCTTAATCAACTGAATGTAATATCCTCTAAAAAACTAATAAAGTTTCTTACCATTAAAACAGTCTTGGAGGAATCACCAGGGTATCTGAGACTGAATACTCCCAAAGCCCCCAAAAAGCAAAAGAAAGTAAATGTGGCAAGATTTCGAATATCTAGAAATGACTCTATAAGTGGTATTGTTCCCATGGTCCAATCACAGCACAGCTCTGAAGGATTTAACAGAAGCCACACATTCACAGGAAGGAGGTAGTTAAAAGTTAGCTGTCTTGTAGGAGTTGGGCTTACAGCAGCTGGGTTATCAAACCTGTATAAAGAATGAAAAAAAAAAAGCTATTTGAACTAAAAAACTTTTTAAACACAAAATTAATATATAACATATATAAATAAAATACTGAACAAAAATAAAATCAATATTTTATAGGTAATCTTATTAAACAGAAGACACAAACATTTGTTATAGATATCTCAGATTCTTGCCAGAGTTCAAGCTGCCTAACCTCTATGAAATGTCTACTTGAGAGGAGTGATATTTATGAAGAACTGTTTGAAGGACAAGGAGGTTATCTATTTCTAATTTATTATTAGAATAATTCAGACATATGTACTATAATAATATTATGATGCTCTACGGAAGTGCTTTCATTAAATTCAGACCTGATTAAAAGTAATAAGAAAAGTTTTGAAAGATTAATTGTTATATGTGCTGTATGAATGCTTCTGAGAACACTAACCTATGTTTTTCTACATGAGACACTTCTTTCAGCACTAAATGTTAATAAAATTTATGCTTCCTAGAAAAAGTTACTGTGTTTTTTCTCTTGTTACAGACAGAGGAAACTATACCAGCTATGAGCTTTTTCTCTTTGCTAAGACTTTCAGGAAGCTAAAAACCAAATTTCCAGTACAGTAGTAACTTTATAGGCCTATGTAACATTTTATTTGTGTTCTACTTTTTCTCTTAGTACATATTAATATAAGCCTATATCCTAGTTTATATTTCCCCAGGTCATGATATAATTATTGTACATTTCATTAATTTAGCCTATTTCCTGGAACTAAGTCAAACCATGTTTTTAAAGTATATTTCAAATGAACAGCTTCAGATTTTTATTTCTTTAGGCTATGTTCTCAATTTCACTGGCTATATTAATACACAGTTCTTTAAAAACCAAATTTCTCATTTTAAAATGAGTAAGTCAATGAAAAATCAATCTCTACCACTAATTTGACTTGGTCTTCTTAAAAATATTAAATGGTTAATACAAAGTAAATACTATTTGAACAAATAATACTTTAAAAACTTTCTTATTTGAATGTCTACATACATGAAAAATAATAAATCTTGAGAGTAAGGACTTGAATTCTCAAAACAGCCAACAGAACTAAATACAGAATTGTCTTTTTTCCTGTAATCCACTATACAGAGTTCATTTTTTATAATCAACAGTTTATTTAGGATACCTGATTTAATAATTGAACTGTAGAGAAAGAGTATACGTCAAAGCAAGTCAAATCATATTATAATCAACGTCACAGGGTAATGTAATAGAATAATATATACATACACTCACATTTTTAAATGGTTATATTCATAAAATATATATTTACATGTAACACACCCCATACACGCATCCACACATACATGAAAACCACATTTTCATACTGTAGAACTGGAGACAGAAAGTTAAAACGTATTCTTTACAGAAAAAAATGCTATTGAAAAGGACAACTATGTGAAAAATATCACAAAGAAAGTGCTGGATATAAGATAATTATGTGAATAAAATTTATTCTAACTAGAGCCAGCAATGCTGTGTCACAGAAAGCAACGTGAACAACATTTTGTTAAAAAAAAACTTTTTGCATGTAATGTCAGTCACTTAAATAAAATAGAAAAGGGAACTAGTATAAATTTCATTCTAAATTTTAGCTGAGTAGGGTGAAATGGAAAAATGCTAAATGTTAGAGCAGGAAAAAAGCGATATGTCAACTGTTAAAATTCAGTATAACTTTTGCTTCTAGCCTTAAAAAACTGGACAAGAGATATAAAACTTTTTTTTAGCATACTGGGAATCAGGCAAAGAACAGAGATACTTGAGAGAAGAAAAACAAATGAGGGAGACCTACCTGGAGAGTTTAGTATGGACAGTGGAGCAGTGAGGGGGAATCCGGGTGGAGCCCAGTAGTACCAATGAGTTGAGAAGATGGAACTAGGAGCCCTAGCAGTCCAGGAGGCTAGAGTTAGTGGGCAGGATACCAGAGAGAAGAAAGTTCAGGAGATCTATAGATGGTCTCTCCCCAGTTTTCAGTACTGATGAGAACTGATCAGCATACATATGAGGAAGCACCCAAGGTCAGTGTAGTGGGTTGAATCATGTCTCCCCAAAATTCATGTCTATTCCAAATCTCAGAATGTGACCTTATTTGGAAATAGGGTCTTTGTCAATATAATTAGTTAAATTAAGATAAGATCATACTGGATTAGGGTGGGCCCTAAATCCAGCGACTGGTGTCCTTATACAAAGAGGAGAGAAAAGAGAAACACACAGGGAAGAAGGCCAGGTAAAGACTGAGCAGATTGGAACATGCCAAGGAAGGCCAAAGACTGCCAGTAACCACCAGAAGCCAAGAAAGAGGCACAGAACAGATTCTTCCTTGGAGGCTTCAGGAGGAACCAACTGTGCTCAACACCTTGATTTTGGACTTCTGGCCTCTAGCACTGTGACAGAATAAGTTTCTGCTGCTTTAAGCCCCCCAGTTTCTGGTAATTTGTTATAGCAGCCCTAGGAAAACTAAACAGTCAGGAAAGTACCTCCCAAAAGGATTAGATAGAAATTCCCAAATATCATAGAGAGCTGGGAATAGTTCCTCAGCAGCCAGAGTGAAAATCCTCATAATTCACAGTCCATCAGGTAGAGTAGTCAGAAGGACCTCGTGTCAGTAGCGGAGCAAAACTAGCCCTATCCTAAATGCTGCCACGATCTCACAAAACAAAGCTTAAAAGCAAGACTAGAAGATGTAACATTTTTCAAATAACTAAAATGCATCCTAGAACAAAGCTCTAAAATGTTTATTGGCATATATTAAGGCAAAATTCACATATGGCACCTATTAAAAAATTACCAGGCATGTGAAGAAGTAGAAAAATACAATCCACGAGGAGAAAATTATTGAATCTAAGTTGATCAAGAAATGACATAGATGATAAAATTAGTAGACAACGACATTAAAGCACTAGAACATATAGAGACATGGAACACATTAAAAAGGCTCAAATAGAACTTCTAGAGATGAAAACAATTCTGAGATAAAAAATCACTAGAAGAAATAAAGAAATTAAGGGCAGATTAGACATGGCAGAAAAAAGATTAGTGAACTTGAAGATATAGCCAACCAAACTATCCAAAATGAAAATAGGGGGAAAATAGCTTTGAGGGGCAGGGCAATAAACAGAGCATCAGTGTGACAACTTCAAGAAACCTAATATACATATAATTGGAGTCCCAACAGAAGAGAGGAGAGAGAAAATAGCATAAATATTTCAAGAAGTAACAGCTGAAAAGTTTCCAAAATTTATATAAAGTAAAACGTACAGATTCTAAGAAGCTCAATTAACCTAAGCACAAGAAACATGAAGATAAAAGAAACAGTGACTGGAAGTTTGTACCTTTTGACCATCTTCACCCAAACTTCTACTTATAAGATAAATAAGTATTCTGGGGATGTAATGTTACAGCATGGTGACTATAGTTAACAATACTGTATTGTATATTTGAATGCTGAGAGTAGACTTTAAAAGTTTTCAGAAGAAGAAAAACAAATTTTGTAATTATGTGTGGTGATGGATGTTAACTAAACTTATTGCAGTAATAATTTCTCAATACACATAGATCAAATCATTATGTTGTACACCTAAAACTAATAAAGTGTTACATGTCAATTATGTCTCAATTAAAAAAAATAAAGAGAAGAAAAACAATGATAAACAGAAAATATTAAAAGCACGCACAGAAAAAGACACACTACATGCAGAAGCATAAAGATGACAGAAGATTTCCTATGCAAGCCAGAAAATAGTAGAGCAACATTTTTAGAGTATTGAATGAAAAACAAGGCAGAATTCTACATTCAGGGAAAATATTTTTCAAAAACAAAGGTAAAATAAAGATATTTTTATATACAAAAGCTAAAAGAATTCATTACCAGCAGAACTACAATGTTATGAAATGTTCAAGTCCTTCAGTCACAAGGAAAAATGGTACCAGATGAAAATCCTGATCTAACAAAGAAATGAAGAACACTAGAAATGGTGACTTTATGCGTTAATATAAAAGACTTTTTAAAATTACAGTCACGCCACGATGTTATATATAGAAAACCCTAAAGAACCACCAAAAAACTTTTAGAAGTAATAAACGAATACAGTAAAGTTGCAGGATACAAAATCAACATACAAAAATCAGTTGCATTTCTATACACTAACAACGAAGTAGCAGAAAGAGAAATTAAGAATACAATCCCATTTACAATTGCAACAAAAAGAATAAAATACCTAGGAATAAACT